GGGGGGGGGGGGGGGTGCGGGCATCTCGATTGTAGTGTCGTCATCGCAGCAGAAGCGTTGCCTCTGTGAAAACTGAACACGAGATACGGGGAATGCCTCGCCTGCTTGCTTCGCCCTCTGACATGCGATCGTCCGCCGTACAAACAAATCTGTTGGCACACAGGCGAACCTGACGCCGCAAGAAGCTGCGGCGCTTTGGCCGACGGTGAAGAGCGAGGCAGCCACGCTTGGCGCGGAGATCGTATCTCCCGCGGTGAACTTCTGTGGAGGAGACTGCACCAAGGAGGTATGACAAGGGTGAAAGCCTCAGAGAAGTCTGCATTGTCTTGTCTGAGGCTGCTACCGTGGTTCGAAGTACCCTACTGTGAGCAATTTGGAGAGGCACCTTGAATTACCCGTTCAACATCAACGTAAAAGAACGTACGTTCCAGCTCTAGACAAATCTGCGCGCGCCCGCATTGCATTTGGCCGCTTGTTAGTTCTTAACGCGCTTTGTTCACAGTTGACTCAATCGCCGCTTGTACGCCCCCCGCTGCTCGCGTGAACAACGTCATCATCATTGTTCATGATGCACTCCGACACACAACACGACAGGACCCTTACGAATGGCTGGACGATTTCTTCTCGGCGTGCGAAGGCTGCGACGTCACTGCAATCGCTGTGCACATTTACACCTGCGAGGTACTTACCTCGCCAACCGTAGTGTACCGTCAGACATATGATAATATTTCGTTGTTACGGAGACGTTGATAAAGGAAGCACCACTTGCCCCACGTGGCAGCCTCTGTTCTCGGTGTTGGTTTGTTGCGCCCAACCAGCCTCTCTCCGACATAAATTCATGGAGAGTGGCTACTACACGGCCGCACCTGCCTCTTTTCCGCAACTCCATGCTGTTTCGCGTCCCCTTTCTCTGCCGGCAGTGACCAAGCAACACCTGTTGCTCGTCGATAGTGGAATGTTCACCCCGGTACTATCTGTGCACCCTTCTTTGTTGAGCCATCAATATGCATACATCAACATGACCCTCATCAAGCGCGCCTCTCGTTTACCCGACCGCTGCTTCGTACGGTCGGGTCCATCGATTCCGCGACAGGTACGCTACCTCAACAAGATCCTGTACGGCTACCTCAAGTACGGCCTCCCTATTTGGATAACGGAATTTGCTTGCGCTGATGACGCCGCCTACATGAACGAGGCGTCCCAGGCTGCCTACCTCGCCGATGCCCTGACGCTGCTAGAGTTGCACCCATCGGTGGCTCGCTACGCCTGGTAAGGGTCAAGGGTGCTGAGGAGATTCAGCAGAATAACTTTTTTCACGTGAAACTGGCCCAAGAGTGCTGGGTGGGTTAGCCCACGGCGTGCTCCTGGCTCTGCTCTTGCTGAAGACGTGGTTGTCCCCGGGGTCAATCGATGGGGTACATACGCATAATGAATAGCCATGTTTCTCGATTGTGGAGCGCATGCAAAAAATTGTACTGCGTGTATGGGAGTATATACACATCGCAATGGCCGATTGGCCCGTCTCTTGCTTGTCGTTGCACCCCCTCTTGTAAGGCCGGGGTATCCTTATTGCCGGGTGTTGTGTTGTGTTTTGTTTTTGTGGTTGACGAGAACATCCGGACCCGAGGTACAGGTACATGGTGCCTGTCACGCACACGTCATGGTTCCTTTTGAGAGCGCGCGCCATGCTGCTCCGATAGTTATCCGTGTTTTTTTTTCTTGGAGCCAGTCACTTTCATGACACTGCTTTTCTCGTAGCTAATTTTATGTACGGCGTAACTTTTTTTGTGCGGTGTCTTTCAAAGGTTCACCGGGCGAGGCGGAGACGACGTGGGCGTGACCGGATCAGACCTCCTGTCTGCGACCGGCGTGTTGACGCAAGTCGGGAGCGTTTTCGTGGAAACGTACCAGGACTTGCAGCGCTGCGAAGACAGGACCGCTTCTCTGAGCACGGGCATCTTGCCATCGTCCACTCCAACCAACATTGCCGGTTAGTGCTTGGAGATGGAAAACTCAACTACCTTGTTGAGTAAAGGTGTCTACAACGACCACATTGGGGATTTGATTAGTGCGTGGGGATGCAGGGTGGAGTACCGCTGTTGAGCCATGAACACGACTAAAGGTCAACGTTGCCGGTTGGTTACTTGGAGCTGTAGGTTTGCACATCGTGTTGGTGGATGTGTGAATTGTTGATTGGCGCCTCTCCTGGAGGCGGGACCAAGAGAGGACGTTCTCCACTCTTTGGCACACGCTTTATTGAGCACACACGGGCGTTCTATCCACAAGCTGGTACTGCACGATCGTCCATCAGTCTTGTTTCCGTCGCTAAAAGATCATATAACTCGAGCTATGCATGAAACGGGCTCTGTCTGTTGAGTGGCTGTTGATTGTTGCGTGTTCAGTCGTCGGCGATGGGGTCAATCACCTCTTGAGGTTCGTAATGCCGCCTTGCATTACGTGCTTGTCTTTCTCTCTCTTGCTTGCAGAGCCCGGCACAATGACGGGAATGACCGACGTCGACCCCGAGGCGACCGAGATCACGAACGTTGTCATCGGTAACCTGGGTGGGACCGGCACGTACATGGATGTCATCGGTATGAACCCTGGAGCAGCCATGCACTGCCCTTCCACGGAGGCGGCATGCGTGCAAAAGGTACGCGCGTGCACATCGATCGAGTTGTGTTGTGTGTTGATGCCCCTCTTTTGCCACGCGCGGGGCATTGTTGTCGGTGTTCGCACAGGTGGTGGCGTGTCCGAGAAGGTTGGCTTGTCATAGGCGTATATATTCTCGCGGAACACCCGATGCACCGTTGGGTTGCGCGTAGAGAAAGTCCGGTTGGCTGTCGCCGAGCCTGAACGCGGGACTCTCGCGTTCTGCTTCGCCGTGACCCCCCTAAGTACAACAGCTTTTGTTTCATCATGCGCTTCACTTGTCGTGCTGGGTATAGTGTGGACACGGGTTTGGAGTCTATAATAGGTTGCCTTTGGCACACCACGAGACGAGGAATGCTGATCACCCTCGAACGCATTTAGAGTTACTCACACTTCGTGTCTGGAACATCGAAAACCGCAGGAGGTCTCCGTGAGCGGAACGCTGGCTCCGTTCGATGAGGCTGTTTCGGTTGCGTTCCGTGGCCCCATGAACATCCACAACATCGTCTGGTTCGAAGGAGAGGCGGACTCGTTGAGCAAGACCTCCTCTTGGACACCTGTGTGAGTCACGTGCCCATCGCCTGTGCCCCTCAGGCGACAACGAGGCAATATGTAGGCTTTTGCGTGTGTCCGTCCTTTAGGCGACCAGCAGTGTTTCCTTGAAGCGTGATCTTTCTGTTGAGAGTGACAACTTTTGTTGACTGTTGACTCTCGCAAGAGTCGAGGTCTGTCGAACCCGAATTTCCCCTTTTTGCATGCTGCACACCTTTTCAATGACCCGCGTTGGGCGAAAGCCATTGGGGGCATAATGCAAGCCTCCTCCGTTCGGAAAACGCGAAATCCTCTCGGTCCTTTTTGGGCATCAGCGTGAATCGAGGAGACGAGATATGCATAAGATGATTCAGACAGAAATTTAACATGAAGAGGGCACGCGATACTTTCTGCGGCGAACTCTAAACCATGACGCCCTCCTTCCCTTCGCCTCGACGATGTTTGGCTGCGTCATGTGTGCGATTTTTCGAGCAGAACATCGGACAACTTGGTGTTCATGACAAACCAAGGTGGATACACCGGATGCTCTGGCGAATGGACCATCTGCGGAGGCAGCAGCCAGAGCTACGCAGACGAGACGGTAAACACGCGGCTAATTATCTTGATGCGTATCACAAGTTGTGTGGCTCTATGTACATTGACTTGTTTCCACGTGTCCTTTGTTCATCGTCGAGAGACGAAACATAAGTCTGCCGACAGACGCGATCCATTTCATGCGGGATTCGCAGCAATACGGTTAGAGAACGACCGCGATATGAATTTGCCCGCTGCTTGGTAGCTCGACTGACTCGTGTCGTGCTCTACGCCCTCCCCCCCCCCGGCGTGTTTGCATTTCTCAGGGCAGCTCGTGTGCGAATGAGCCCAAGCAGTTTAACGGTGTGTTGGGCGGCGATCAGGGCGTGAACATCATGACAAGCACGGAGTGTGCGGATGAGTCTACGTGCGGGTGAGTGAATGAGCGAGCGCGATGCGTTGTCTCCGCGGTGTCCGTTGGATAGATGTCACCCGCCCTCCCCTCCCTCATGCGGGTAACCCCTGTGTGCACTGTTTTGTTGCAAGGATTTTTCGTTGGCGTAGAAGAGCATTCACGTCGCTTTTGCGAAACGGTTGCGTGCCACAAGATAGTAGGGTATGTTCTTCTGCTGTCTCGCTTTCTCAGAGAAGAGAGTCTCGCCCGATAGGAAGGAAGAATGCAGACGACACCCAACTGTTTTGTTGTACAACCTCCGCCTGGTCGTTGCCGCACTCGCGTGATCAATCAGGTTCTACCGAGATACGGGCATGGAGGGCTGGAGCGGCGGCCTCGACGGATCGAAGGTGATGGTGTTCGAGGTGGACATGCCGCACTGCGGCACGGAGGGATTTGACGACTGCACGTGGAACCGTCCGGCTGTGTGGGCTCTGAACAGCAAGGTGGGACACGGGCATGTCGCCTGCCCCGTTTTTTATTGTTTTTTTACGGTTCAGTTTTGACAGTGATCACCGAGCAACTGCCGTCGACGCGGCTATTAAGATACCGTAGACACGTTCAACGGGTACTTCTATTGTCACGTTCCGCAGCTACCAATCAAATTGTTGCAACTTTGTCTAAGCAAACGAATTCCCGTTTTGTTGGCACCGTGTGCAGGTGGTGCGAACAGAGCAGTACGGGTGCAACTGCCGAGGGGCGGGTGGGAACGGGGGCTGCGGGGAGTTCGACATCGTGGAAGCGGTCATCGGCGTCGACCACGCCGACATGATGTTCACGACGGTGTACGACTTCAAGGGAACCGGTTCCCCCGGGCACGGCAAATACTTCAACAGGCCATCGGTAAGGAGTGGGTCGTAGTCGAAAGAGCAAGAACGTTGTTTGCAAGTGTCACCGCTGCCCTACGCTTCGGACGCGCCGGGCCAGAAGTGTGCATACTCCTTTCCCTTCCACCGCCCACCACGAAAACACGTCTTGGAAGCCAGCCCATGGACTCATGAAACTGCTTTAGTAGTGAACCGCAACCCTCGTACCCCATGCCCCCCCTCCCCTTGTTGCCCTGCTGGTGTCGGCCCCGCAGTCACCGGCCCACTACGCGGCCATTTTCAGGGGGGGCGAAGATGCGTACCTCCAGGTGGTGCAGCTCACAGAATTCGACTACAGCCAGACCACGTTGTCCGGGCTGTGGCTGGACGAGCTCAGGCTGGCGTCCACCGAGAACCACGATGTATACGATGTGCCAGGTCAGTCGAGCGAGCACTGCAACAGGCGGGGCCTATCTTGAGCAGCCTACCGTCCCTAAATGCCATGTCCCGTCTGTTAGTTACCTCAATGGTTGAACGAGTTCAACATGTTGTACGGAGTGACTTGAACAGCGGTGTTTGGTTGAAAGCAACGAAACCTCCCATGTCCAAAGCGATAGGCTCTGCGTCGTAGAGGAAGCTGCTGCAGCTGTGCACGAAGCTCTCACGGTCAATCTCGGCGGGGTGCTTACTTTCCAACCTGTCCCGCCGTTTCTCCCCCCTTCGCTCTGATGTCTGTCACCCGTTCCTAACGCCGAAGCTTGATGGGGATGCCACTGCCATAAAGTTCTTCCGCGAGGGACACGTCAGGCCATCTCAGGCGCACCCGCCCTGCTCACGCTGGATATTGCATACCACATCAGTATCAGCATTCTCGATGTAACGATGACTATCAGTACGCATACGAGGAGACCTGTAACAATCGTCAACGGCGAGCCCGGTGCAGCTGTGGATAGATGTACAACAAGCAAGCACAGTGTGTTTGATTCCGGACCAGAAAGACGTTCACGTCGGGCGTCCGATTTTGTTTTCGCGCTTTCGCCCCCGCACATCAACATTGGTACATGCGAATGATGTGTAGACGGGACGTTTAATCTCCCGGTTTTAGACTCGACAACACGCGGAATGCCATTAGATGGCACGATTTGGTGAAGTACGCTCCTGTGATGTCGTTTTTCTATGGGAGGGTTCTTTCTCCCTTCTCTTAGTATGTGACTGCGTTCGTGATGTTACTTTAAGCGCTTTCGCGCGAGATTCCTTAAATGGTTGCCCTTGCACACACGGCTGACGTGACATCCACCGTGTTTAGTCTGTCCTACGTTGTATTTTGTGGGCGCGCTTCGGTTTTGTACCTTGTATTTGTTTTGGTATCTTGTTTTCGAGGTGCTTTGTTAATTGACAACACACAAGTCCACCGGCTTGTTGTTTACCTTTTTCTTATGGTCACCCTTCAAGGTGCGTCTTATTTCAAGGCGTTCCTTCTTAGTTCAGTGGTTGTGGCGTTTCAATCAGCGACGTAGCACGTCTTTGGTACTTGCTTTCTCGGTTGTTTAAGGTGTGCTATCGTAGCCCTGAAGGATTGCTATTCTCAACAATAATATGTTGTAAGATCAGCGCCGTTTGCGATGCTTGCGTCGGGAAAGCTGTGACATCGGCATCAACAACCTCGATGTCGACCTCGTATGCTTGCGCTTATGCCTACTTCGCGGCGGCCTCCGTGGCAGCAGTCGTACGGAAGTGTTGGTCTATTTGTAGAGGACAGGACGCGATTCCGGCCACAGTGCCATTGTGAGGGGCACACTGCAGACCAAATGGTGCCCTTGTTGAGGATTTGTTGCAACCGCGAGCAGATTGGTGTTGGGACCTTACTTTACCAAGAACCATCGTTTCGGTGCTAGAGATGGACGCTGTCTAGGAGGAACGTGTGATCTTACACGGGAGATTTTTTTCTTAACCGTACCTGTGAAGCGCTTCGGGTACCTCCGGGGTTGGTTTCGTCCCAACATGAACACTCCCCAGCGTTTGGGGGCGAGAGATAAGAAAGAAGTTGTTGTAGGTTCCTTGGTTTGTGCTTTGTTTATAGCATCGTAAATTTGTTAACTCAGCAGCAAGCCTGAGCAATGGGCATTCGTCCCCCCCGCGCTTCGTATTGCCTTCGGCAATGAAGTCCATCTAGGAATTTGTTCGTTGCACAAGTTGTTTGACTTTTTCCAAGGTTTATTACCATCTATATTGTCTGTACCTCCATGTGAGTCACCAAACTACACTTGGGCCGCTACTGCAGGTTGTTTCGGTTTGTAACAAAAGTGAACCTACGAATTCAATTATTTTCCAGCCGCAACTTGCAAGGCTTTTCATAACTCCGAAGAGAGAATCGAACTGCAACCTGTTACTATTCAATAGGTGTACGAAGCTATCCGCAAGACCACCGGGCGACCGGAGTGTGTAAGTTTGCCGTGGATACACCGCCCGCTGATCAACGCCAACAACGAGTAAACCACGTCAACACCCATACGTCGCCAGCTGTGTATCTCTCTCTAGAGCCTCATTCACGCACACGCTTGCTCGGGTCCTCCCAGTTGACAGCCACACGCCATACCACGAAACATCTCATTGTCTTCGCTCGGACAACCCCCCACCCCATCCCAACACGGACGTTGCAGTCGTTTAGTGGAAAGTCCGACTCGCAGACGGCAGCAGGGCTCGACATGCTCCGTGTTACTGTGCTTGCGCTTGGGGAGACTTTTTTGTCCCCCCGTTAGCAGAAGTTGCGCCTGCGGGCCCCCCCGCAAACTCTTGTACGAGCGCTAGCCTCCACCTTCCCGCGGAGTCCCCGAAAAACACCTCAAATACACCTGAGGACAGGACAGGAAAGGACGGGGCGGGGGCCAAGAGGGAGGTAGTTCATTGGTCGAATACGGGAAGGGTGAGGGTGGTATAAATAGTGGCCACGGACCGACGAATGTCGACAGCAGTGGTAGAAAGGGCCGAAGAAGTTGTTCGACTAGATCATTACCGAGCCTGACGAGCCTTTACTTCTGGCGCTTGCCCGGACTAAAAACAGCAATAGCCTGGCAATCGCCCGCCGTTCGACGCGTCACAGCGACATGCTTGGGGAATCAATCGTGCAGAGGCCTCAGGAAAACTCAAAGACCACCCCCCTTGAGTGTTACAAGAGGCTGGACTTTCGCCTGACACGGAGTTCTATAGTACAACAAACTGTTAGTGCGTTCCCCACCAGCAACCAAACACACGGGCTGCGCCACGAGAAGTTTGCGAATCAGTCAGTCGGAAATAAAAAATAATCGAGAACTGTCGACCAGAAATGACGGCTCATGGGGCGGGAGGCTTCGGTGACGTCGAACGACACGTACCGATGGTGACGTTTTGGGCCGTCGTTGCGTCCTCGTCCGCTTTACGCTCAACCTCGTTCCCCTTGGCGTCCACAACCAGCAGCTGTCGCTCGCTGCACAATCTGCACGTCACCTGGCCGATTCGATTCGATTCGATTCGATTCGATAGACGGGATAAAACTAGGTGTCGTTGGAGCGAGGCGACAAGATCCGGGCAGAGTGGCAAAATCTCACACCTTCCTTTCACTAAGAAGGCGATGCCTCTCTACCCACGATGAGGACGCCATGATGTTGTGAATAGCGAGTAAAGACGCCTGTTAGTGACCTTGCCAACCACACACGCTATCGGACCGGCAAAGCTTGTTCTACTCGAAAAGCAGTACACCAGAGTATTTGTCTCCCTCAACAAGCATCTCAACAGAAGGTGGGCACGGACGGTACTGCTGTACTATTTATCAATAACACCAATGATGGGACTCTGTGACCGCCTTCGAACGAACAGCTTCGCTGCCCTGGCGACGGACGTCGGCAGCAAAACCACTTTAGAAGACACCACAGTAATGTCCCATCCCCGGAAGCTTGCCTGCCCCCAGCCCTCTTTCGGAGATATGTGCTTTTTGCGGTCCACCCGCATTTGAAGCACCCGCGTAGGCTCCTTGAAGTCCACCAATCGAAACGCGGCTCGCTGTGCTCCCCTACTCTTGGAAGATTTTATCTCACCCTGACGCATGCACAAAAAAAAAAAGTTTGGCATGTGACGAGAACCAAGGAAGAGGTTCGTATGGCGCTGCTGTGCGTGGACATTTTTTCCGGTCATTGATGTGTGTTTAGCGCGAGGTTTAGCGGCCGCGCACACACAGCGTGGAACCCCCATCGAAGCAAGACGAGAGACAAATTTCTCGGCAAGTTCAAGGCTAGCTGTAGTATTTTACAAAGTTCTCCACACGATCTTCTGGGTCATGGTACGCACAAAGCATCACGTCGCCGCCGGGCATCGCATGCAGAGGTGAGCACGCACAAATCGAGGGGATTTAACTCTGGCCTTGCCACCTTCAAGCTAGCGTACAGCTCCTCCGTAGTCAGGCCCGCAAGCGCGCGCGTGTCTCCTTTTCGGTGCGCCTCGAAGAAATCTTTGAAGATCTGGTTGGCCACGGGAGGGAACTTGGACGCGTGGAAGTCCGGCACGTGCTTCTGAAGCGGCCATTCCGGTGTTTGGCGGGAGGGAGGTGGGATTGAGGGGGGGGGGGGGGTTCTCATAGTCGTGCATGCCGTAGTTGTTAGACCATTGACCTCGCATCCCTGCAAAGCCGGGACGGAGCACGCCGGGTTCTCACCGGACCAGGCTCTCACATCACCAAGCGCGAAGCGCCGTGAGGTATCCGGCGAGTCGCATGAAGGGTGCGCTGCATCCTGCTAAGGGTGTTCGGCATCTTGTGCATACTTCCTTGCGTACGGATGCAGCTGCGTACGACTTAATTTATTTTCTGGTGCTTTCACTTCCAGAGACAGTTGTAAGCACTGTGTAACTGCCTCGAGGGTGCTTGACCATTTTAACACAACGTGGTGCGATCATCCCCCTTGCGCGAAGTGAGGGTTCTCCACCCCGCACAACATGATCTACTCGACCACCATTGTGGTTACCGCCAAAAAAAAAACGGAGGTAAAAAAAAAAACGGTAACCTGGTTGCCGAGTTCACGAAGTGAATTGGCTTGCTTAACAACGTCGTTGCCAAGCGACGAAAACCCAATCCCGATCGCAAACATGGGGGGAGGTGGGATTGGGGGGGGGGGAAACCGCTGTAAAGGGAAGGGAATATGTAAGTTTTCGATGCGTAAGGGTGGGCGTTATTGCTTTCAGTACATCGAACAAGGAACGGCACCGATGACACCACCCCCGGTCTTGCGACCGGACAATACCGCCCAGAAGAAGCCCCGAGGGATGAAAGCGAGAGTTCACCAGCTTACTCAATGGCATTGAAGCGTAGTCAACAGCCACCATACCCCACATCGATACACCTGTTGTTCCCAATCGTTTCTGCTCTTGATTTCTACTTGAGCATCACGTGAACACATGAAAATAAGAACTCTGGCAATCGCAAAGGAGTTCGTGAGTTCATGAGCCCAAGGACGACCCTTGTGCACTCTGTCTATCAAATCGAATGAAACCTCACGGCACGGCGCGGAGCGGATATGCGTCAGGTGGCAGTGCGATAGAGCAGAGCGGAGCGATTCGTGTTGCAACCCTTCAACCAAAAGTCGCAGTGGAGCAGCGGTGTTAGATAAGTTGTCGCCGGCCAACAGCTTCTCACAATTATCACTAACGAACACGGGAGAGCGCTAGGCAAAACCGGCATGCACCTGGATGATTCCCGCACACACTCCCGACTTGAGGTGGCCCCGCATGATGCCGAGCCTTTCCTTCACGCCTTCGCTGCTCATCATCGGAGGAAGGCCTTTACCCCCGGCCCCTCGGTACACGTAAGGGTCAAAGACGCCGCCGGAGCTGCGCACCTCTCCCAGGCGCGAGCTGCGAAGCGGAGTTGGACAAGCGTTTTTGGGGTGCGCACCACAAAATTTGTCAGTCGGCATACGTTGGCATTTATCCGATACATGCACCTAGCCACGACCGCAGTATGAATGTAGCTCAACCTCCAGTTTGTACCTTTCCTACTGCTGTGTGCGGAGAGGGAAGGCAAGAAGGAAGATCGGGGCCAGCATGAGCCACCCTTGGTCTGTTTCAAGGTGCCCGCCACAAGACAGGGAGAGAGAGAGAGAGGTGTTGTGCAGCTTGCGGTGGTGTTGGTGCTGTGGGCGCTCGGCTGCACGGTCGTCTCGCCGAGGTGCACGCCGAACAATAATAGTCATCCTGATATAACTGCATGTACAGAAGTAACAGCACGACAAATGTAGCAGAGCATCGCCGTTTCTTCGCATGATACGAGAGAAAAGCAAAGAGAGAGATAGAGGGAGAGAGAGAGCATATGTTCTGCTGTAGCCAACATGGTGTTGCTAGAGCAGCGATTCTAATCTATTTTCAGAATGAAGCACGCAAAGGGCAAGAGCACAGCGGAGCGAGGGAGAGCGGCTACCACCTGCTTTGTTCATGTGTTGCGGCGTTGTAGGCGTGCTGCTGAAGTCTGCAGTATTGTACAGAAATGAGTGCATCTGAGAACATAGTGCTGTGAGTGACAAAGCGCATGTTGCATCCAAGACAGAACAGCATCGCGTTGCAGGGTTGAGCCCACCTGCTGGAGGAAATTCCTCTCCGAATGATCTCCACTACTCTCATGGTTAATGCACCACGCAATGGCCTTGTACTACGGTGTAGACAGTGGCTGGGAGCACGGGGACCTGCCAGCGTTTTTGAGTTGAGGGAGTTCCATCAATTGTTTGGTTCGGGATTTGCCCCCCTGGCGCCTTCCTCACAAGAGTGTGTAACTCCGTATCTCGTCGAGTTTCCGTCGGTAGGAAAAAAAATAACCGGTTCTAGGGCGCCTTCCGACAGAAGATTCCATTTCCGGCATCAACAAAAAAAAAAAAAGGTTTCGCGCCACCTTTGGACGAAAATAAATGCGGCGGGATCCATTTCACAGGGAAGATCAACTCGGAGCCAAGCGTGCACCTCCTGTATTTTTTCTTGGGAGGCAGAGCGGTTGGTTTGAGGGTGCGTTGGTTACACTTTGGTAGTTCAACCGATGTCTTTAGGACTAACCGATGTTGAACGTAGCAAGGCTAGGTTCTTCACGCAAGCAACGTTAGGTTTCTCACCCCACATCTACCCTAACCCTCACCCACGACCAAAACACGGCCTAGCGGCCACGAACTGGGTGGCACGCGGCTGCGCCGCGTGCACGGAAATGCGGAACGGGGAGAGGGCGCTGGAGAGGGATCCGCCGCCAGAACCAACACAGAACAACGCCCGACCAATCAGAACGCGTTAGTCTGAAAGATCTACTATCAATGTGTAAACACTACTCGTGGGAAGCAGCTGGTAGCTAGTTGAGAGGATTAGTGCTGTTTTGATCGTATAAACCGATCCATGTCGCTGCATCCTCAACCAGGCACCCTCAAGACAGAAACGCGCGTGTGCTTAAATTAATGAATCTTCGTAGTACTGGTATATCTTTCGTAGCCTACCCGAGCCTGGTTCCAAGGTGTTGTCATTGCCCCAAGGATCTTTCGTGTTGTCGGCATTCTGCGGTCATCATGTCCTTATCGTCGAAAATGCACCGCACTCTTCGGCTAGATAAACATCAGCTTAAGTTGATTGAGATGTGATCAATGCCCAGGAGGCGATCGGTGATGACTTCGCCAACTGCAAGTTTAGAGCTGTAAGATGTACATCATTGGCATGTATTCAAACTTTTCGTGAGCAGCAAGTTTCAACCAATCAGTTCTGCCATTGAAATGGCAAACTTTGCGACTACACTATCTGTACACCGGCGACGCAGGACCGGGCCCTGCAGGAGCATGTTTGCCTTGTGAAATTTGTGTGGCAGACCAGTGTACGAAGCACATCTAAATACATTGATGTTGCACGGCAGAAAAATCGACGCGAACATTAACATTTGTTCGCCCTCGACTGTTCGTCGTTCAACTTGTAGTCTAGACTGCTACCTTACCAGCTGCAATCGCAGGCTGTTGTATGCATACACAAAAATTTCTCGCGGCTCATCACATCCCCAGCAAACTAAGTGTACCAAATGTGCGTCATGTGCGGTTCGCCTTGGCCGGAGCGCTAAGCGACGTCTACAACGGGGGGAGATCGGGGCAACACAGCCGAAAAAACAAAAAACATCCGATAAATTTTTTCTGAGCACGCGCAATGGGGTGTGACATCGCCGAGCAATAGGCAAACGTGCCAAGAAAAGCCTGCACGTGCAAGTAGTACTCCGGCCCCACCACATCGGTGGTTGCATAGCGCACTCGTGAAGCGAACAGCGTGTCATTCGTGTAGAACCCACGAGCTACAAACCCATGAGCGGCGCCACCGCCTACAGCGTGTTGTCCGAAGGGCCTCACGCCTGCCATTTGACAAAAAAAAAAATGTGAACAAAAAAAAATCCCGACCACACCACCATCGTCGCCCACGTAACGTACAGGCGAAGGGGTCTCGACTTGAGTTCCTCCACATCATAAGCCCTCCTTACAATGTTACACCAAACTTTGCTTAATTTATCTTGGTCAACACACAAAAGGGTAGGACAACCATCAACAACCCCCCACCTCCCACCCTAAAGACCTCCTCCGGAGAGCACGAAAGAAGCACACAACGATCCGATCGCACAAGCCTCTCACCAACAAGCACGGGGCACGGACATGGTACAAAACCATCTCTCTTCCAAGATCGAAATCTAAAAATACGTAGGTTGCGGCATGGCCCGAGAATGTGACGTCATGTGTCCTTGGACTTCTTCTGCGTGTCTGGGTGGTTCACTGTCAGCGTTGGACCCCCCCTCCGCTTGCCCTCGTTCCCGAACAGCGCGCCAATGATGAGCCAGGCCCAGTACAGGTTGACCACGTACGACACGACAACCGCGCCCAGAAAGACAGAGCGCAAGGGCATCGGCATTATCAGCTCCGCGTAGAGCTGGATGATGTCGAGGATCATGAAGAGGTACATCAGTATCCTTGTTACCAGGAACAGCGCGAGGAAGGAGAAGGAAGTCGCAATCATGATGACGTGGGACTTGTGGACGAGCCCGATGTGGCGCATCAGCCAACGCCCGTTGAGGAGCGGGGTTGACATCTCGGCCGAGAACATGATGAAGTGAATTCGCATGTGTATCGGCAGCTGCCGGAACCTCATCCCCATGATGCTGATGACGGCGAAGACGAAGTGGTGGATAAGCATCACGCGGTTGCGGTTCACCCGCCACGACCGCACCAGATGCCAAGTGTCGTGCACGATGTACGACAGCATGATCGCCATCAGGCTGAACACCACGCCCGTGTGGTCCTCCCCCACCGTCTGAATAAAAGGCAGCTTGTTCGTCAGCTGCCAGTCCCATCTAATAATGCTCCAGGTGAGGTAGCTGGACACCAGGAGGGAGGTAAGTTGCCCCCCGAACTGCTCCCGGCTTCTGTCCGTCAACGGACCCGTCCTCCTAGCGACGTCTCTCCACCAATACGGCAGTAACGCTACCGCTCCCACCCGCACGACCTCCAGGGCCACGAATGCCGCTATTCCCCGCTCCCACCCCGGCTCGAAAACCTCAAGACCGACGGATTCAAGCGGCAGGAACAGCAGGGACACCGCGATGGCGCTGGGTATCCAGCCCCGCTTCCACGACAGCACATCGTTGTTGCTCATGGCGGCTGTCTCCGCCGCTGCTACGACTAGCTCTGCCAGCCCCTCTCGGTTCCCGCGAGCACCAACGGGCAGCCTTTGCTTGAGCGTGACGGGGAGGAGCAACTCGCGCAGCTGCGGTTGTGACCTGGACAGAAACGGGAAACATCGATGATCAGGCGATTTTGCAATGGGAGCGAATAATTCGGAAATTCAGCATCGGCAGCCCGGGCCCCTTCTTGCATCTCTACCTCGCTCGAGGTCGCTCGCTTTCATTCGACCCGCAAGATGCACGCACGGAGATCTCGCATGAGCACAAAGTAAGAGCGTCCCCCCGACCCATGCAGTAGCCAATAGCAGGCGCTCGCGATAGGTCTGCGGAGGGATTACGGCCCGAGAAAACTACGAAAGCAACCGTGTTCAGCGAGAAAGCAGCGTGCGACACACGATGCCAAGGTCTTGGTCTTCTCAAGAAAGACTCGCCGACAACGAGAAGGGCAACCACCCATACAAAGAAAAGAGCAGAAACACAGCCGTACAGCAGTACACTAAAATTAACGTGTTCGCGCTTTTGTCCAAATCCAAAACTCTTTCATTGGTCAGCCGGTTAGCGTGGCCGATGCTAATTGAAGGGGGGGAAATACACACACAGGCCGAGTCACGGGCGTGCCGGACAACGATGACCTATAACACAATCAAAGCCGTTTCGATGAAAAAAAAAGCTATTCCACCATGAACTCCCGATATATCGCCAAAGCAGTTGCCGCGTGTACCAAGGAGGAGCCATTGACACGCAATAACGGCGACGATGATTGATACTTCAGCGAGCACGCCAGGAAATGCAGAAAATAACATGATGAAAAACGTGTCTCGTGTTTTTTTTAAGACAAAAGCAGGCGCGCTCACTAATTACGTAGCGTACTGTGCTGTCCATGATAAGACACCGAAAAGCAACCCGAGGTTCGAGCACAGGCCACGAGAGAGGGGCCTTTCTCGACTCTCCATCCTGCTGCGACCAAGCCAGCACCCCATCGATACTCGAGAAGCCTGCGTCCCCGTTCAAAAACAGCGGTGCTATTGCGGGAAGAAAATACAGGACGTGCGTGAGAGTGCACGGCACCATCGAAATGTCGGTACAGCCAGAGGCCATAAGGATGGCTCACGACAGGCGACCATCGTCCCTTGGGGCACCAGGGTGGCCCGGTGCCATGACATTACCCCCCACATACCCGAATGAGCGCGTTGATTCCGACACCGCGTGTGTTCTCCACTCCCAGTACGAAACAAGAAAAGCGAAGATGATTTGAGCAGCAGCACGGGTGCGAAGCTGTTGATCTGGTTCTCATGATTATCCGGGTTCCAAGCGCTGCTCGGCAACCCTTTGCCCTAGATAGTGGCAGGCTGCCTTCAGCTTCACCACCGCTCTTCACAGGTGAGCGCCGACATATCAACTACCCGCGCCACCTACAAACTCGTCGGTACTGGTGTGCGCGAGCTCAGTGGACATGGGTGCGGAGTATGGGTTGTGTCTAGCGCTACAGCAGTACTCTCGTGCATGGCGGTGTATGCAAGTGTATGTAAGCGGGAGCGAGCGAGCGAGCGAGCGAGTTCTCGTAAAACGCTGCAAACTTGAACAGCCGACATTGTTGTCGCTACGAGCATCTGCTCCGTTACAACGCTGCCAGCTGATTGCTACTAGCGTACCAGTGTTGTCTCTCCCAGCGTTTGGGATTTGTTCGTCTGCAAATGTGGTCCAAGAGCTACACAGGTAACACTACGCCTTCATGAGGATAACGCGGGATCGACCGCCGTTGAAGGAGGACAACCATGACACAGGTTGGAATGACACTGCGACAGAGCGTTACGTAAGGCGGGGTGCTGTCGCTTCTACACCCAGACGACAGTAGATCACGAAATGGAGCTCCTGGGTGATCTAAATTTTTGCAACACACTCCCGAAACCCGTGACGGACGAGAATGCGATCGGTTTCGCACGTACAACGGCCTTGCGTGCTGCGATGCAGCGATTCGGTGACGTGGTCATGATACATTTGCGCGCCAAGAAGCAATCCTGTCGGTATGTTTGAACATGCTGTGTGTTTCGTCCAAGCTTGTGGTACGACCCCAACCGGCTACACTAGACAACTGCCGGCTGGGACTACCTACCGTTAGAGAGATGGCACCGGGTGCGATCGTTTTTGTACATGTATTTTCCTCGTTTTTGTTTCTCGCATCCCTGTCCGATCTCTCCGATCTCGATGCGGAAACTAAATTAAATAGTTGCTCTATATATTGTTTTTTGCAAGGCACTCCGGTGCTATCTTTCCGACTGGTGCCTGCTCTCCGAATCTTGCGGTATGAACGCCAACAAGAGATGAGCGAAAATTCTAGAAAAACAAGCAGTGATGGGACTCGGACCCCGAGCATTACGCGCTCAAGCTCAGTCTCGCTCGCACCTTCGCCCTCTTTACTCTGCGATACTTTCGGGGTCCATTAAGGACGCCACCGGTCTCTGCCTAACCTCTCGGCCACGTCACTTTGGTAATCTTGCATTTTGCTTTTGCTACTGCTGTAGACTAGACAGGGGCGGACGGTCTCCGAACATCTCGTGCGTACATGTAGTTCCGCCGCATCTCGCTTTCCTTTTTCCAGTCGCTTTCGGCGCTGAGTCGCTGAGTCCCGTACGTGGCGCACGGCGGTGTAGCGAGGGTTGCAGCGTATTGCAGTGGACCCGCCGTGCACTAGCTACGTGGCTCCCACGTGAGGGTATCACTGTTGGTGTGTGCCCCGTCGTCTGCAGCGCGTCAGCCTAGCAGTGCCAGTAGCCGTTTGGTCATTGTACATGTGCTCGAAGTTCTTGCTCTTTTGAATCAAGGGTTCGAGGCAAGCTTGTGTGCTTGGTTGGTTCGTCGGGGTCACCCTACGCGACTGCTGTGCTTCTTCAGAGCCGGGTTATGCAGAGAAGCTGACGCTAGGCGGACGCAAACCTTGAGAGATGCAACTCGGTTCCGCGGTTCCGATGCTTCCTTCCGTCAGAAGATGCTGGGTGAAGATGAACAGAGGACAACTTCTCACTCTGCTGTGACACACCAAACTATTTGACTGATGCTGCTAACCTAAACCATATCACTTACCAATCACGAAGCGATCTTGTTATCGTGATGTGCGACTCCTGCAGGGCAGCGTTTGCATGCAGCAGCGGTGGTAGCGGATGAGATAAAACACCCTGCGAGAGCGATTCCAGAGTTCGACGAGACGGAGGTTGGGAGACAGAGCAAGCGATCTACAAAAATGGGTGGGATCGAGGCGTAGATTTCGTAGATCCCGGTCGACGAATATCCTGCAATCGTTTCTCCACAACCGACACTCCACGGCCCCGATTTGAACCATGAAGGAGAAGAGCGACGAGGGTGATGAGGAGGAAGGGCGCGTTGGGAAGCAGGAGCGTTGCGCATTCGATGAAGGACATCCGGATAATGTGCGGGCGGACGAAAAAGAACTCGGGAATCACGTTAACAACGAGGACAACGCAGCAGAGGAGGAGAGCGAGCTCGATCTGCGGAATTTCCTCCGAGACGACATCTTAGAATCGGTACGAGAGAAAGGGTATAATATACGGCAGAAGTAGAGTCGGGGGGGAGAGAAAGCGCATGATTTTTGTATCCGCGCGTCCATAGAGAACAGCGAAGGTTATTTGTGTCGAAAGAGAAGGGCTGGAGTCCATCCGTGAACAAATCCTGGTCTCCGTTGGAAGCGATGCGCTGCAAAGCCCGTTGTTAGTAAACTTGATCGACTTCAAAAGTCGCGAGGGAAGGGATTTCTGTACCCTTCTCGCGATTGAAATACCTCAGGCAGGAACCGCAGGAGGGTGTCCAACCCCCCCCTCCTGTGAGACCCCGGTTGGGTCGTCTAGCTAGTAGAAGTGGAGGAAGGAGCCGAAGGGGCAGTCGACAGAATCCAATCAATGGTGAGGGTGTACTCATAGACGTGCATGCCGTAGTCGTTAGACCATTGACCTCGCATCCCTACAAAGCTGGGACGGAGCACGCCGGGTTCTCACCGGAGCAGGCTCTCACATCACCAAGCGCGAAGCGCCATGAGACATTCGGCGAGTCGCATGAAGGGTGCGCTGCATCCTGCTAAGGGTGTTCGGCATCTTGTGCTTACTTCCTTGCGTACGGATAACAGCTGCGAAGTGGCATCCCCCTTGCGCGAAGTGAGGGTTCTCCACCCCGCACAACATGATATACTCGACCACCATTATGGTTACCGCCAAAAACAAAACAAAGCTAAAAAAAAAAACGGTTACCTGGTTGCCGAGTTCACGAAGTGAATTGGCTTGTTTTACAACGTCGTTGCCAAGCGACGAAAACCCAA